ATATACCTGCTAGAATGGCCCAAATCCAGAACACTATCAAGACCAAATGGTGGTGGAAAACAAAACATACTCTTACCCTACGATCCAGTAATTGTGCTCTTTGGCAGTTACCTCAATGAGTTAGAAACTTAGATCCACACAAATCCCTGCGCATGAATGTATACAGAAGCTTTTTTCATAATTGCTAAAATTTGGAAGGAACCAAGATGCCCTTCAGTAAGTGAATGGATAAATAAGCTGGTAAATCCAGACAATGGAGTATGGTTCGGTGCCAAGAAGGAATGAGCTATCATGTCATGAAAAGACTTGGAGGGAACTTAATCGCGTATCAGCAAGTGTAAGAAGCCAGTCCGCATACTACTATTTGTATGTATTAAATGTTTCAGACGCTGGCACCCTGCACCGCCCCGCCCCCCATGTGAGATGTGTGATGTTTGTTCTTCAGGCACTCCTGGCTGTCCCTGTGCTTTAATAAAATCACCTTTTTGAAAAAAAATTTTTTTTAAGTATTCTGTCTTTATATATGTTATTACACCTGCTTTATACAAATTCCAAAGTTGACAATATGCTCAGACAGAGACACTTAGATATATTTATTTATTTATTTATTTTTAGATTTATTTATTTATTTATTTATTTGAGAGAGAGAGAATGAGAGATAGAGAGCACGAGAGGGAAGAGGGTCAGAGGGAGAAGCAGACTCCCCGCCGAGCAGGGAGCCCGATGCGGGACTCGATCCCGGGACTCCAGGATCATGACCTGAGCCGAAAGCAGTCGCTTAACCAGCTGAGCCACCCAGGCGCCCTTGATATATTTAAATACCAGGAAGCAACCAGCTCCTGAGTGCAGTGAATTCTGAGGTCGGTCTATAGTAAGAAGACTGGTTATTACCTTAAAGTTCTGTTTAAGAATAACTTCCCAGGGCGCCTGGGTGGCTCAGTCAATTAAGCGTCTGCCTTCGGCTCAGGTCACACTCCCCAGGGTCCTGGGATCAAGCCCCATGTCAGGATCTCTGCTTTATAGGGAGTCTGCTTCTACCTCTACCTGCTACCCTTCCCCCTCCTTACCCCTGCTCATGCTCTCTCTCTTCTTCTCTCAAATAAGTAAATACATAAAATCTTAAAAGGAAGAAGAACTTCCCATCCTTAACAACTATAAAAAATGTGATCATAGTGAATGCTATCACATGGGAACATTAAAAAAAGGAGATTTCAGGGATATTACAACACTACTATTAGACTTTCCGGTACGACTATGTGATATAAAGAAAAGTTTAAGTAAGTCACCTTTGAGTTTAGCATTGGGGTCTGAAGGAGAAAAAAATATAAGGAATATGTCAGAACAACAGCAAAAGTCTGAGACATTGTTTTTTGTGTGGAAAAAAATCCTCATCGCTGTGCAGAAATCTCTAGAAATGTTATACTCTAGGGTTTGAGAGACTGAGATGAAGCAATAAAAAATAAGCTCTCTTCTGGAAGAAACCCGAGCTGAAAACTGATGAAGTAAGAACGGTGCCAAGGTTCAGCTGCATTTTTATCTCACATGCCTGCCTGCATTCAGATTTGACCAGGTCATGAGGTAAAATGGGTTTGTCTGGTCGTGCCTGGTGGCCATTTATTTCCATAACGAACCCATTCAATGACACAAAGGCAAGGAGAGTGTAAATCAGGCCATTTCCAAATGTGATTTTCTAATTTGCCTAAGAGCCCAAGACTGTTTGACAATTGACTAGATAATTCCACTGACAAATTGTTAATGATTATATGTATTTAATTACTTACTAATTTATACACCACTATGGTCCACGAGTAATACAAAGCAACTTAATCAGGATATTTATATAGTTCCTCACATTTAATGCGTTTTAGCAGGTTTCGTCTGTTCTTACGATAAGGCTGTGAGACCAGGAGCAACAGCTCACTTTCCCAGCTAGAGGAGCTGCAGTCCACAAAAATTAGTCGACCTGCTCAGTTGTGAGGGAGGTATTGGTGTTGTCTCCTTGATAGACGGGAAGTGAAACAGAAAAGAAGCTGATTGCTAAAGAAGACATACCTAGTTGGAGGTGGGATTTCAACTCAGATTTACTGACCTCAAAGGACTGTCATCAACTATTGTGGTGTATTACCTCCTCAAAATGTTGTTTTTCTGAACGTTTTAGCCAATAAAAAAATGGAGTCATTCAGTTGATTCGTATTTCCAAATACTAGTTTTTAGAACATGGTTGCAATTTAGAGTAAATTTCAAATTCTTCTGATGCTATGAGACATTGCATTTTTATCTCGGAAATACCGGTCCATCTAGAGAATTCTGCTTATATTTACTTGTGTGATTTTACCCAGTAAATTCTAAAAGAAAGTTAACCTTGGTAGAGAAACATCTGCTGTTTTATCTGTGGAGAAACCCTGAGTCATTGCAGCTGATTTCAAAAAGAGTTCAAAATAGTGTGTTAACCTTTACTGTCCATCATGTGCACTCAACAAATATGTTTTTCAACCTGACAAAACAGAATTGATTACCCGTGACTCAATTTCTTTACTATTAAAATGCCATTAGTCTCCAGTGTATTACAGAAGTTAAAATAAGAATATAAGAAGTGACGGGAAAATTAACACTGGATGCTATCCCATCTAAAATTTGGACTTCTTTTAGTCGTGAGGAAAAGCCCAAAGTGGCTTTGGGAGACATTTTCTGAGAGCTCTTTACCATGTGTTTAGTCAAAGTAAACACATTCACTAACTGTCTCTGTTTTGCTGAGTACTAAATAGCGATAAAATGTTACTGTGCTAACACGTTTTCTCCGGCCACAAGGTTTTGAGACTAAGAATCCAATATGGCTGATGCCGGAACTCGGCAGTTCAGTTCACCCTCCTCCAGGGGTCCCTGGAACTCAGCCTCTGTAAAGCTCTTCCTCTGTGTGGGGGTGGAATAGGTGGTCCTTGAGATGTGACAGTTGCCATGTATCTTCTTTGTTCCACTTGATACCTGGGTCATCACACTTCTGAAGTGCTTGCCTAGAGGACCCCTTAAGAATTCTTCCGCTCTGATGCCAGGCAAAGCCTTTCTGCATAACCCAGCTGCTGCTACCTGGGCAACATACCTCTGGGTAGGTGCCTGAGGCTTCAGTCTCCTGCAGTGGGTGAGGATGACCTTTATCTTTTTCTCCCTTTCCTTCTGCTATGGACACTCCTTTTAGGATGTAAAGCTGATCCCCCGCAGCAGCACGTGTCTTTGAACCATTCTGACAGTTCTCAAATATGGTTGAGAAACCGCCAACGTGCCTCAGCCCCACTTCTCTGGATTTTGGTGCTTTTTTTCTCCCTTATATTTCTGGGCAGTCACCTCCCTGGGATTCTGTCAACAGATTAGACATAAGTCTTGTCAAAGCTTTTACAACGTGTGGGTAACAAGTTGTAGATTTCTACATGTTGTGGAGAATTAAATTGGGAACATTCTATAACAATTAGAGAAAAATTAAAAGTTAATTATGAAAGAATTAAACATGAAACAATTAAGAATTAGGAAAAAGACCAAAATATAACATTTAAATTTAAGGGTGTCATATAAACTTCCAGTTATAAGTTAAGTCCTAGAGATATACAGCACAGTGACTATAGTTAATAATACTGTGTTGTGTACTTGAAAATTGCTAAGAGAGTAAATCCTAAAAAGTTCTTATCACAAGAAAAAAAATTGTACTTGTGTGTGGTGACAGATGTTAACTAGTATTACTTATGGCGATCATTTTATAATATATACAAACGTGGAATCATTATGTTATACACCTGAAACTAATATAATGTATGCCAATTATATCTCAATGAAAAAATAAAATAAATATAAGGGTGATAAACAAAAGATAACGGTAACAAGCGCTTCTTTAAAACCAAGTAGTTTTAGGTTTATGCCTAGGCATCTTGAAAGTCTGAATGGTTCACACATAATATTGTCTTTAAAACTGGCCTATTTTACTAAGAATGTATTGGATGCAACTTTTGCCTAATGATGGGGAAATGGGTATTCATTGTGAGAGCCCAGTCGCCAGTAAGACCTTCGTGAGCTTTTGAAGAGGCACTATGCTCGGTATTGACTTTGCTTTTGGAATCTAGGACACAGCTGAAATTGCTTAGCGCCAACGGCTGACTGTCTCATCTGGAGTAATCTCACAATCTTTTTTTGGCCTAATAGATATTTCAATCTCACACATTCGCCAAACAGACATCAGCTCTCTTCTCTTTCCATTGTCTCCTTGGAGAGAACTGATAGTCTTTGAAATGCGAAAACAAAAACAAAATAGCAAACTTTAGTTCTAAAATAGTAGTATAGAACTAAGATTACAGTTTAATATGAGATAACTTGCTCATATAACAAACTTTAGAACCCTTGTTCTATGCTCATAAATGACCTAATTTAACATTGAAAAAATAATCGTTTTGTTTATTCCTCAGTGGAAGGACATTTGGGTTATTTCTAGTTTTTGGCAATTATGAATAAAGCTGCTAAAAAAATTTGTATGCTAGTTTTTAACAGAAAATATATCAGTAGTTACCGGGGGTGGGGGTAGGGGTAAAAATTGACTACAAAGGCAAAGGGGAATTTTTTGGGGGGAAGAGGGTTAATGAAATTAGTCTATATCTTGATTGTGGTGCAGATTGAACAACTCTAAGTAGTAGTGAAAACTCATAGAGCTGTTCACTAAAATGGAGTTTTACTATATGGAGATCATGCCTTAATTAGAAAAAAAGGTAATAGTTTTTATTTAGTTGTTCCCTTACTGCATCTCACTTCCTTTGTGAAGGAGTTCTGAAAGCATCAAGGACATAGAGTGGAAAAGAGTACAAGAGGTTAAGAAAGGAATTATATAATCATATCAGACAAATGATATTATAGATAGAAAACATTTATAGAAAGTGAGATCGAACTGTTTGCCCTCTGGTTAAGTAGGATGGTGGGGTATTGTGACAGACACTGCTATGTGTTTCTTAAAACCATTTTATCGGGGCTTCTAGACACCGAGCTGCTCTGCAAGTCACCATGCCGCGTGGAAGCCGGAGCCGCACCTCCCGCATGGCCCCTCCGGCCAGCCGGGCACCTCAGATGAGAGCGGCGCCTAGACCAGCGCCGGCAGCTCAGCCTCCGGCAGCGGCTCCACCAGCTGCTGTCGGCTCACCTGCTGCTGCGCCCCGGCAGCCGGGTCTCATGGCCCAGATGGCAACCACTGCAGCTGGCGTGGCTGTGGGCTCTGCTGTCTGGCACACGATAGGTCATGCCATCACTGGGGGCTTCGGTGGAGGAGGCAATGCTGAGCCTTCAGGCCTGACATCACTTACCAGGAGCCTCAGGGAACCCAGCCAGCGTACCAGGAGCAGCAGCAGTCCGGCCCCATGCCACTATGAGATCAAACAGTTTCTGGAGTGTGACCAGAACCAGGGTGACCTGAAGCTTTGTGAAGGTTTCAGCGAGGTGCTGAAACAATGCAGATTTGCAAATGGATTAGCCTAATCAAGAAGTTCAAATTGAAGACATGGAAAATCATCTCTCATACCCAAGTTAATTTAGCATAAAAATATAATTGGTGGTGAATATATAAAGTGTAAAACCACCAGTTAAGCTTCTCCTTCATCATTAAATACAGCTTTCTTCAGAATTGGAATGAAACAGGTTGTTCTTACTGTATAGAAGTTCATGAGATGGTTTGAATTTGGGGTTGGGCAGATATTTGTGTGCCTCCTTAAATCACCTTTTGTGATGTTCTCATTTGTGAATTAATTAGAATAAAGTGATTTTCTCCCCCCCCCAAAAAAAACATTTTATCTACCTCCTGGGCACACTCTCAGATGATAATTTCCAGCCTCCCTTGCAATTATGTCTGGCCATGTGACTAAATCCTGTACACGTTTTCATGCTGCTTCCAAGCTTGGCCCATAAAAACTTAAAACTCTCAACTCTTTCTCTTCCCACAAATTCTGGGTGGATGCAGAAGATCCACCAATAGATTTAAGTTGTTGTGGACTTAAATGGAACCACAAAGTGGAAGCTACCTGGATCCCTGAATCACCATATGGAAGGAAACTTTCAACTGGTGGGTAATTGGAATAAAAAATAAACTTTTATTTTGTTAAAGGAACTGGAATTTATTAGGTTTCTTTGTTGTAGAACTCTGTGTTACTTCTCCCAATCCAAACAAAAACAATCATATTTCTTTGCCTATTCAGGCATATTAAAAGCTTGGAATTTTTGGTAGGAGGAAAATGAGATGATAAGTCCGTGAGGGTGGAGGGCTTCAGATATTTTTGGATGTGGCATTTTTGGTGGGAATATTTTGAGGGGGTTTCTTTTGACCTATGGGTTTTAAGAACACTTTTTGCATTTTCATTTGGGCTATATTGTTATATGGTACCTGATTTGTCTTATTAATGGGGAGGGTATATTAAAAACATTCTACTATGTTGGTAGATCTCTATTTCTCATTGTGTTATATAATTTTTTGCTTTGTATTCATTGAACTTATGTTATTAGTTACATATAATTTTAGAACCGATATTCTTCCATGTGTATTGAAACCTTTTTTTGAAAATTGTATCATTATGAATTGACCTATTTCTTTTTTTTAAGACTTTTTAAAAAAGATTTTATTTATTTATTTGAGAGAAATAGTGAGAGAGAGTATGAGCAGTGGGGAGAGGGAGAAGCAGGTTCCCTGCTGAGCAGGGTTCTCAATTCCAGGACCCTGAGGTCATAACCTGAGCCGAAGGGAGACGCTTAACTGCCTGAGCCACCCAGGTGCCCCTGAATTGATCTATTTCTAATAATGCTCTTAGTTTATGAATGAATTGTTGGTATTAGTGGAATTATGCAGGTTTTCCTTTGGTTAGTATTTGCTTAGCATATAAATTTCTATTTTTTATGCTTTTGTACTTTCTATATCTTTATGTTTTTGATATATTTTCTATAAATAAGATATAGCTGAATTAAACATTTTATAATTTTCTTTTTCTTAAATTGAAATATTTGGTCCATATAATTTTAAATCATTAACATATTTGGAATAATCTCTCTTATTTTATTTTATGACTTCAGGGTATCTTACCCACAGAATGGTTTTAGTGAAAGGATAGATATGTAGATCAATGGGACAAAATTGGGAATCCAGAAATCTACTCATACCTATGTATGTAACTTGTTTTCAACAATGGTGATGAAGCAACTTATTAAAGGAAAGTCTTTTCAACAAATAGTGTTAGAACAAATGGATATCCATATAAAAAAATAAACCTCAATCCTTACCTTAACTTATATACAAAAATTAACTTGAAATGGATTATAGACTTAAATGGAAAAGTTAAAAGTAAAAAACTTCTAGAAGAAAACCTAGGATGAAATATTTTTTGCAACTTTGAGTAGGAACTTTTCTTAGATACCACACAAAAATCATGACCTACAAAAGAAAAATATTGGACCTTATCAAGATTACAGATTTTGCTCTTCAAAAGATACTGCTAAGAAAATGTAAGATAAGCCACAGAATTGAATAAATTATTTGCAATACATATTTCTGACAAAAGACATATCTAGAATATATATAAAGACTTTCTTTTTTACCATTTTTGCTATTTTTTTATTTTATTTTATTATTATGTTATGTTAATCACCATACATTACATTAGTTTTTGATGTAGTGTTCCATGATTCATTGTTTGCGTATAACACCCAGTGCTCCATGCAGAAGACTTCCTTTTTTTTAAGATTTTATTTATTTGTTTGAGAGAGAGACAGAGAGAGCACAAGCAGAGGGAGAGGGAGAGGGAGAAGCAGACTCCCCACTGAGCTGGGAGCCTGACTTGGGGCTCGATTCCAGGACCTAGAGATCATGAGCTAAGCCGAAGGCAGACACCCAACCATCTGAGCCACCCACCCAACCTAAGTTTCTTAATTAAAAAATAAGAACATGAACTGCCCAATTTAAAAATGAGCAAAAAATTTCAAAAGATACTTTAGAAAACTGTGGTCAATACCACATAAAATGATGTTCAACATCATTAGGAGAATGCAAGTCGAGACCATGAGATGTCACTACTTATCAGTAGAACACTGACATTAAGTGCCTGGGTCAGTTAGGCATCTGCCTTTGGCTCAGGTTGTGGTCCTGGGATGAAGCCCTGCATCAGGTTCCCCGCTCGAAAAGTGGGGAGCCTGCTTTTCCCTCTCCCTCTGCCTGCCACTCCCCCTGCTTGTGCTCTCTCTCTCTCTGTCAAATAAATAAATAAAATCTTAAAAAAAAAGAACACTGACATTAAAATTGCCAAGAATACACATTTTCATGAGAATGTGAAGCAACAGGAACTCTCATATGCTTACAAGTACTTTGGAAGATTGACACTTACTTTAATAAGTAAGCGAATACCTACCTTATGATCCAGGCATTTCACTCTAGGTATGAAATGAAAAATAAAAAAATAAAAAAATAAAATATCCACACTAAAGTGAATGATTGTAACAGGTTTAATAATAGCCAAAAAGTGGAAACCACCTAAATGTCTTATCAGTGAATTTTTAAAAATGTGCCATATCTATTCAACTGAATGTTATTCAGAAATAAAAAACATTGAAATACTGATTCATAATACAACACGAATTATCCTCAAAATTGTTATGCTAAGTGAAAGGATCCACACAAAAAATACATTTTGTATGATGCCATTCATGCAAAAAAGAATAAAAAATGCTATACTGGCAACAATATGTATCTGTGGTTGTCTGGTGCCAGTGGTAAGGGTTGGGGTACACTGCAGAAGGGCTTGAGGAAATTGTACACATTAAATGCTTGCGGTTCATTTTCAATGTATTATAAACCAATAAATTTGGATTATATACTTTTAATTGGGCTTAGTATGCGGGTAGCTAATTTTTCTCAGCATACATATAATTCCACCATCTTCCGGTTTCCACTGTTACAAATGATAATCATCTGTTAATGCAATTATTATTCCTTTATAGTAATCGTCTTTTTTTCCGCTCTGGTTCTATTTAGACTTTTTCTTTTTCTTTGGTTTTGATGGTTTCATTGCGATATGGATTTCTCTTTCTTTTTTTTTTTTTAAAGATTTTATTTATTTATTTGAGAGAGAGAGAGAATGAGAGATAGAGAGCACGAGAGGGAAGAGGGTCAGAGGGAGAAGCAGACTCCCTGCTGAGCAGGGAGCCCGACGCGGGACTCGATCCCGGGACTCCAGGATCATGACCTGAGCCGAAGGCAGTTGCCCAACCAACTGAGCCACCCAGGCGCCCCTGGATTTCTCTTTCTTTATTCTACTTGATATTTGTGAAGCTTTCTGAATCTATGGGGAGGGGTCTTCTGTAAGTTTTAGAAACATTAAGTCATTGTTTATTCAAATATTTCCCATAATTCATTCTCTTTCCCCTCTCCTTCTATTAAACTCTTATTTGTGCATGCTTTGGGCATTGTTTTCTGCTCCTGCACCTTTAAAGCCATAAAAGTCAAAGCTTCAAATTCCTAAGCTCAGAAATTGGCTTTCTCCAAGGAATAACCTATTTTAAATTCTCTATTTACCTTGCTGGGTTTCTGCCCTCACTTAAATTTTGGCATCTGAGTATTACTTTCTTGCTGGATATAGGCATTTGAAAAGATTTACAAATATATCTGACTTAGTATTTTAATTTGTTTCTCACTGGAGGATCAGTTATGGAACCCAGTCTGTACTTTCAGAAAATGGAACTGCATGGTACAGATGACCTCATTTAAATAATTGCATTATGATATATCTATTACAATTTAAATTAATGATTATCCCTTAACCACTACATACCTCAGGTTCTGTTTTTGGGAGCTGAAAAAGGGTTTATAAACACAAAACACGTTAGGAAATCCTGGAGAGAATTTGTTTTGGTGGTACCGAATAATCTCAGGTCTACTTGCAATGAGATTGCAACAAAGCCAGAAACTTTTATATTGAACAGGAGATTATATTGCGAAGAGTATGCGATTTCTTAACAGTTTACATTAGAAATTGTATATTTATTTCAGAATGATCTCAAATTATGGGAAGAAAATTTGGTAGCTGTGATGAAAATCTTTTGAGACACTTGTGATATTAGAAGAAAAAGGAACATTCATTTCTTTTCTCTAGGTTGGTGAAATAATATTTCAGAAATGACAGATCTTACAGATAGAAAGTTTTTAACTTGATCATTATTCAACTCATGCCAATTTAAAGTGTATTCAATAGACAAGTTATTCTCAATATTTTGGAATTTGATACCTAGTTTGACTTCATAATCATTTTACTTTATTTTATGAAACCTTTGTGAATTTCAGATAATGTAGTGGTGTTGACCAAGTTTGAGCCCTAGCATTCCTAATGTGCATTGGCCAGTGTCCTATCTTCTGCTTATATATGCCAATTTTAGCTGTTTTCCACATCTCTCATGTAAATAACTGTACTCTTAGCTTATAAAATTGATTATACACACACAAACACATACATCAATGAAATAAGCAGTTTACTTTCAGCTCCAAAAGATTTATATAAACATTTATAATGAACTAATTTATATGTCTATATTATTTTTGGTACTGCCATCAATGTCCTAAATATATTTGTTGTTTAATGTTGTTAAGAAATAAGGAGATTTTGAATTTATATCTTAGTATGGGCCATTCTGGATGAGATTCCTACTTTTTTTTGAATAAAACATTTCTAAATTGTCACGTCTTGCAATGCACTTTGAAGTTTGTTAGTTGTGCATTCATATTTTAGATGCATGGTAATTT